CCAGATTCTGATCCCTTTCAGGAGTTCTAGGAGCTACCATTCTTCTACCACTTCTTAGTTTCATGCACGAAACAAGAAGACTTAAACACAAATGTGTCGCATCGGGTGTACTAATTTTTTTCTCTGTGAAACAATCGCTAGCCTCTTATTAAAGGTTACTTGCAGGATGGGCTACAATAATCCCAGACTTTTGTGTTTAAAGTGTTTTTGGGTTGAAAAAGGGATAAAAGGGCAAAAGATAAAGACAATTGCGATGTAAATAAATCAAAGACTATAAATTGCTAAGAATTTAAATATGGAATCATTCATACATTGTTATGCTTGAATTCTTTTCTCTCTTGGATGCGGGTACTTTGAGTGTATTGCTATTAAATATGAAGAAATGCAACCTCTAACACAAATATATAAATTTTCTTAAATAGACATCCTAAATATATAACTGTCGGCGGTTACTAGCCCATGTTTGGGCTTCGTTGGGACTAGTTGAGTATTCCCACATTCTCGCTGGCTCTGCACATTGATAACTGTTCCCGCTAATATGTATTTTTCCTTAGCTTCTTCGACCTTTACCCCTGTCGACACTTGCATATGGTCTCACTGCCTTCGTCGACTAGCTTATGTGGTTGACGTCTTCTCCCTGCTCGATGCATCTTACTATTTTCCACTACTCTATGCCTCTTTAGCCAAACAAATCCCCGTGGCTTTAGGTTTATTCCCTTAGTCTAAAATTGCTTGTCAATAGGAGGATGACGGGAAATTGTTGCACCAACTTCTTTACCAATTCTTGATAACTATTAATGGAGGCACATGGTAAACCCATATACCATCTGAGAGCGATGTCCCTGAAAGTTCCAGAAAACAACTTATATTTTAGGGAGTCGAGCGCTCATATGATGACCATTTTCATATTGATAGAGGAAACGTGACCGTAGAGATCGTCGCGTCCATCAAACTTGGTCAAAAAGGGAGGTTTGAAGCCCTCAGAGACAGACGCCTCCCATATCTCATCTGAGAGCGGTTGGGGGTCTAACAATTTCGTCTTCTCTGGGTGATTAGACTCTTGTTATCTATGTCTTATATTGTGGACGTCGTCCTCTAGAGTTTGATTATAACGGCATAATTCACCCATGGCGCCACACATCTTCGCCAGGGCGTCGACATCACCGCTATTGCCGGTACCTTCTAACATACACGATGAAGCTCTCTTGTTAACCATAGCTAAAAATGGTGTATGAGTGAAGGGTAATAGTGATTAAGGTTATGATAATGAAGAAGGTGTGACCCAAGTTAGTTTTACCGAGATCCCACTATGGGCGCCACTGTACTAGTAGAAAACTACAGGTGTACGTGTCCCCCCTACAAGAGCGGGGAGACTTAGGGGTCTTAGTAGGTATATAATGATGAATGGTGGTTAGGGTTTACCCACAGCGGCGAGAATCCTAGTATGGGGTTTTACGCTGGTTTATGGGTTCTGCTCACGTGAGGTGAGTGGCCATGTTGATGAATGCTACACTTGGGTATAAGCTTCTGAGGGTGTGATTAATGTGAGTTAAGCACTATGATTTTGGGGGTGTAATGATCTATACTTTCTCCCCTTGAGGGGGAGAATATTTATAGAGACCTTTTGGGTCTAGGGTTTAGGTAACCTTAGGTGGTTACAACCGCGTCCCCCCGATTAGAGGGATTTATTGACCACCTATTATTCCGGGAGTAACAATGGTCTTCCCTTTCTTTGTCTATCAACTTTACACATCATGACTGCTGAGGGCGAGTCCCTAGATCATCGGTGATATAGCTCTTGGGTGATGGCGCCCTTGTTTAGATCACTCACAAATATAATATTACAAGATTCATGAGTACAACTATGGGTCATTTGTTTGGTCTACTCATACTCCAAGTTAGCTAAATGTTGTCTTTGAAACACCAAACAAATGACAACTAATTGCTCGTTGTTGATGATAATATATTTACATCCTTTACTATTTTTGTATCATTTTCATAACACTCGCGCTACCCATTTTCAGTCATTAATAATAATTCATCTACACCATTTTTCAAGCATGGGTCCTCCAACACTTCCCACGCATCTTCAGATGGTCATATGTTGATCACTACACTGAAGATGTACCACATGCTTGTGCATTCATCCCGCTCATAGGAAATTAGGTGATTGAGCTCTTTAAAGTGTATCTTGATTGCACAATAGTAGATGAAATATATGCTTCAAGTGTATGCCATTCACTGTCAGAAGTTTCACTTGGATGACATAGTCTTATACTATGGATGGTTAGCTTGTGGGTTACATCTGATGCATCCACATTTGTCTGAGTGATTGATGTGCAGTTCAGATATATGTAGTTTGTTCCAAGTGACCCCTTTGAATTTGCTCCTCCTACTATGGCCTGCAGAGATGTAAATGCAATGTATGATGATTTTTTAACCATTCAGTACTGGCTGAAGCATGAGGTACCATAGCTCTTAACTATTGGAGTTGTGCATACAACTATGTCCAGTGGTATTTCAGAGTGTCACATTCTTATATGACACCAAATACTGAGGGAGAGACACCTAGGTGGTATCATGTTCTTAATGTGTTGCTTCTATGTCATTGTGTTATGGATCTTGCACGAGATTATATAGACAAAGGAGACTTTTCGGAAGACACTTATGGGAGAACTATTGTAGATGTCATTCTTATAGAGGCGCATATGATAATGCAGTACAAGAGACAGTGAAGAAACAGGGGATCCAATATACGCAATAGTATTGTATTTATATTAGGAATTATGGGTAGTATTATCGTTTATTATTTTATTATTTTGATTGTATTATAGATAACATTATCATTTATATATATGACATTTTCATCTTATTACATCGGTGTTTGGCTTAATAGATAATTATTTTTAATGATAGCATACTTATCACACATGGTCTATTACATAGATGTTTTCCTTAAAAAAATGTCAAAATTTACTAACAATATGGTGAATAAAGAAGTGTATATCCGTATTTGATTCAAAGATGATCTTTGAATTAATTACGTCAAAAGTGTGAGTGTTTAAGTTAGGAATGATTTGGGTACATATAAGTTAAAATCAGAAAGACATCTCCAGACTAATTTCTGACAAAAATAGACGGATGACTCATTTATTCACATATTTGATATAAATTAATGCCTCCGAAAATAGAGTTTCAAATTCATAAAAACATTTAAATTTTTATTGGACACTTCTCCATCACTTAAGGTGGAATAAATGATCCCCAGATTTTTAAATGCAAACTTTCTAATGGAATTGATTCAAAATTGTTGTGATACTAACCATTCTATTAGTCCAAGTCTCTTTTCTTATAAAACATCCTTTTCTTGGGTTGAAAAACATCCTTTATTATATGTTAAGAATCGTGTTGAATTAATAATCTAAAATTACTTATGTAATTTTTTTTATATTTTGATATTTCAATTACTTCTATGTTGAAAATACTTCGTAATCATAATATTATTATTTTTAGGTTAAATACGTTTTTCGTCATTATAAATAATTTAAATTTAGTGTTAGTCTTTATACAATTTTTTTCCGAATAATATTCCTCCTAAAAATTATTAATCACACTTTTGATCTTTCTTACTAAAAATCATCGCTAACTCAATCGTTAAGTTAAAACAATTGTTAATTATGTCGTTAAATTATAAAAACTGTTAAGTTGTAGGAAGGACGAAAAATGTAGATGAAAATTTTTAAAAAGATCATTTTTTCAAGAAATTCTTTAAGGAACTAAAAATTAAATATGAGATATTTAAAAGAATTACAAATATATTTAACCCTTATTTTTAATTAATATAAACTTTTGAAAATAAAACTGAACATGTTGATTCAAAGACAATTATTCTCAAGACTTCAAAGATTGTAGAAATATGAAAATGACACATTTAATCTTAAAGGTGTAATTGAGTTGTTCATTCCACCTTCAGGATACACATTTAATCTTAAAGGTGTAATTGAGTATTTAATCTTAAAGGTGTAATTGAGTTGTTCATTCCACCTTCAGGATACACATTTAATCTTAAAGGTGTAATTGAGTTGTTCATTCCACCTTTAGGATGCAACCCAAAATCCTAAAAAAAATACTTTTTTGAGTTGTTCATTCCACCTTCAGGATACACATTTAATCTTAAAGGTGTAATTGAGTTGTTCATTCCACCTTTAGGATGCAACCCAAAATCCTAAAAAAAGTACCTTTTTTTTATTTATAGATAGATATGTATATTCGAACGAACTTAAAATCAAACCAACAAAAAAAATCATATGTGAGATACCCTTATTTTAGCCAAAAATATGTCTAGAGATCTCGAGAAAGAATCCGAATATCCGAAAAGAATCCGAAGTATCTCCTTAAAATGTTAAAGGCAGTATTCTTCTCAATTTTATTCATTCATTCTCCTCCAAAGTTGTGCATTACTAAAATAATATCTGGATAGTAAGCTTTTTCTTTCTTTCTTGATATTTCTATTTATAGGAGTATCTTCATTCTATTTGTTTTGAATAAGTTTTCCAAGAATGTGAACAAATAGTAATGATTTTCTAACATTGTTATTCACATAACTCTCATACTTATTTTAGTAAAATAATATTTAAAATATGCTGCATTTATGAAAATGATAATACTTCTTTCACGGTATTGGACAGTCCTACTTCTTTCACATTGGACAATCCTTAAAATGAAAATTTACTGATAAAGTTTGACAGAGAGAAGTATAAACAGTCTTCCTCTAGGGGTGCAATAAGACTTTCCGAAAGTGCATCTCCGGTTGGAGCAAAATAGGAGTGTTTCACTTGCGAAGTATTAAAATGTGTGTATAAAAGATGTGTCTGGAAATACATCACCAGACGCTGACATTTGAGACTTTTTACGGTGGTGGAGAAGAACACATAAGGCTGAAAAGAGCAACCCCCTAAAGTGTATTGCTCAATCTGCTTATGTATTGATTTAGTTTATTTTCATAATGCCAGGTCTAATAGATTTTTCCTTCTCTTTTTGGTTGTGAGCCACAAGAATACATGAAAAAACCTAATAGATGGCCTAATAATCTCAACTGAAAAAAACCTGATGCTAAGTACTGTATTAGAGCTAATTTTCCTAAGAGGATGAGTAGCATTTGAAATGCTTTTCCCATTGTCCAGCACTATTATTACACCCTTCTCTGAGAATAAAAATGACAAGAGGTGCAAGGGGTGTCATGTCACACCTAACAACAGCTTTCTTTCATTTTCTTAAATTTCCTTCAAGCCTCTCAATTGCAGCACTAACACCACTCTTTACTTCTCTCTGATCTGAATGTGCCTCCGAATTCCCTTCATTCGCTATTTCTACCATCTTCAAATGGATCCAACCTACCAAACAATTAATGGAAACCAAACTTTAAATAGCCACATATCCATGATGCATAAATCAGTTAAACACTTGAATAACAATTTTGGATCTTTTTTTACTTGCTAACAGGAGAAAAAAAATCCCTTTAAGAGAGAGAGAGAGAGAGTCTAAAACTGATTTTTTATTAAATTGGTGGTGAGTCACTGCAAAAGTAAATGGCAACAAAACTCTTCTCATAACGGGACTTTCTGCTACCAGTATTAGCAAAGACAATCAAAAACTGATTTTTTATGAAATTGGTAGCGGGACACTACAAAAGTAATAATAGCAATAAATTTCTAACAGAGCTTTCTCCTATAAGTGATTAACAAAGACAAATACTCAGAAATAATATACTTACCAAGAGGAAAATAAAATGCAGCAGTGAACATTCCGAGCCGCACCCCTCCAACTAGTGCGCGTTCTGTAACTCGAATGATACGTTTCTCCATTGCATCTCGCATCAATCGATATTGGGCTCGCTTGTCTTCTATGCTCCCAAGTTTCAACATGACTTCTGCATCCTTGCTCTGGCAAAAAATGGGATTACAGTAGTGTTTGTAATAATATAGACATGCAATGTTGATATTTACATAGCTGGCAAGAAACAGAATGTATAACCAACAATAGTGTTGAGAGAATTAGGTGATAAACTTACAACAGAAGAAGATGCCTCTCTGCTGCCACCATATAACATGCCTGCAAACATTGCAACAACAGTTGCTGTGCCCCAATTAACCATACCAGGTACTCTTTCAGAACCCTAATTAACGAAAACAAACCATTAACAATCGTTTCTTCTACTGATAGATAATGCTAAGCTAGGCAAATATCATAAATTGAAAAATATATGAAATTTTTTGTACATTTGTAACGGTGGATTCTGATGAGTTGTCGGTGGCTTCCATGGTTGGAGGAGACGCGGCAAAATCCACGAAATGGAAATGAAATGAAGCTGTGTAACCTGTTTGGTTGCTGACAAATTAGGATCGTAAAGGGAAAATCGATTTGCAGAATTGCTTCGGTATGTGTGGTGGTCAATACTTGCACCGCCGTTGAATCTTTCTCACTCACTCAGATTGTTATGCAGCTTTGGGTTATATATACTTAATTTAATTTTATTTGATTTTTGATTATATTTTTAAATTTTTATAATAGAATAAAATTTAGATGTGCATATATGAAAAAAAAATTATTTTAAAGTGAGATGTATTTGGAAATACACATATTTGTGTGGAATAAGTGCGTTCGGATATACGTTTTCAAATTCTGAGTGTATTTAGATTTTTCACTAATTGTAAAATAAGGATATTAGGTGGAGAAAGAAATTCCCTAATATAAATTTAAATAAATTTTGAACAAAGACTAATTACAATATAAATTGAATAACAAAAATAATTGTAGTGTCTAACAAATTTAACTTCAAGGAGGGAAAGTTATTCTATTTAAGTTTTGAACAAAGTTTAGTTATATTTTAATTTCAATTTTTACAAAAATTTATTAAAACAACGTCGTTTTGTCTGAGGAAAAAACAAGCATTTAACCACTTGAATTTCCTCGTTGTCTACTAATTTTGGCAGGTTCTTTCTGATTCCTATTAGTTCAATAGATTACCCGACCCAACAATCAGATCAGACCGATGACCCCCTCCGCTTCCCGGTTCGACTGATTGATCTGATATGGTTTTAAAAAAACTGGTTTAGGTGTCATTTTATTAAAGCCGCTTGGATTGAATCTGTTCCACAAGGGAACTTGAATTAATCACAAATTAGAGGTTCTGGATTACAACAATAGACTTGAACTTCTGATATGGTGGGTGAGAGACTGACTTGCAAGATTAATATTTCAACGCTCAAGTCAGTGTGAGACTAAGATGACTGAATGAAGTTTGAATTTAAATTGTATTTGGAAAATGGTGTGCTTCATCCTTATATAATAGAGTGGTTATAACAACTTGTTGCTATTTATGTGTGAAATGTGGGGATTTATTTGATGGATTCTAGCTTTTGATCTCTTACCCTCTAACCCAGGATAACATACCTGCCCCGCAAGTGATGCGATGGATCAATATATTCTCTAGGTCATAGTTATTGGGTCTTTTGACCGATCCAAAACAATTGCCCTCAAGTCATTGCCTCTACTCTGTATGGTGGGGGCTTTGTTACGCTAGTCTTTTCCTGTTGGTCGTAGCCCAACTTGAATGGAAAGTCAAGATGTGACATCGACGTTATTGGGAAACCACACTTTAAATGTGCCATATGCTATAGATGTCTTTTCATATGCTCTATCATGATGACCTTTGAAAACTAGAGTACTTTAGTGTTTTTCTGAGGTAATCTGGAGCGTTGATGGTGTCTATCTTATTTCTTTTAGTAAGATATTACACGATCTTTATGGAATCAGTGTTATAGTTTTTAGGGGTGCTACCTTTGTTCTTTTCATCAGCATTTCTACAACATATTGTTTTCTTAACCGATAGAATTGGTGCCCACCATGTGTCAAAAATCGAAAGAGGATACTTCACTCTCTCAGGTAAATCCCACAATTTCGGTTACTATTTCTATCTTTACTCGCGAAGGTAGTCTTGCGAGAGCTTTCCTTGACGTGGGTCCTTCTCATGACTGGGTGTATTAACCCTTGAGGAAGATAAAAGGATTTTCGATGAGTATAGTTAATGTGTTATTCCTTTTTATGAGTGCGCTTTTTCGATTCTAGGTATCCACTGGTTCTTCTGCAGTTTCAAAATAGAGATTTTGAACCATCTGATGAATTCCTCCTCACAATTGAACCCTATGAGTTCGTCCTATATCAAAGTCTTCAACTAATGGCGTGACTATCGGGGAAGAAAGATATCTTTGTCACTTTTCTTCCATCTTTTAAGGGTATAACATATCTCAGTAAATCATGCACATAGCTAGGGCTTAATTACACTAGCTGAGGTTACCCATTATTTTAAAGTGTACTTTGATGGTGTGAAGCATATCAAAGATCGGTTCTTTTAGTTACTCCCCTTAATGAAGAGGCTTGTGCGCATATTTGTGCCATAAGAACCAAAGTGAACACCGATATATGAGTTTGTTTCGTAAGTCTTAGAACCAAGGCCATTTTTTTATGAGGAATACATCATATGTCTACAAATAAAGTGACATGTCCCAAGAGGAGCTTTACTCGAATAAGCTATTAATCACATTCTTCAAAGAGTTGGGTTACATCGGAGGCGTTGTCCCTCGTAATAAAGCCTTAAAGAAACGCTTGAAGTGGTTCATTGAAATTCGCTTGTTGATGGATGCCAATGCCAAGGAGGAAAGGAAGGTTATCTTCAGTGAGCTCCAAGTGTCATATCCCTCGCTATTTGTTATTCTTACATGCAGTTCTTGATATTTTGGTAATTTTCATATACCAATTCAATGAAGTGTAAGAAAATTATTCACCAAATGAAGAGGGGGATTCAAATTGTGTCGGCGGTTGATAGTCCTTCAAACACTTTGATGCTGATTAACACTTTCTCTAGTCGGGATGGGAAGGAGGTTAATATGATATTCTCAACCAAATTTTCCGCGATCTCGAGGAGGAAATGCCTTAGGGGTTTCCCCGATGTTGAGATTCTTGGTAATGCTCGAGGGGTGTCGCGTGCTCTAGGCAATCCGGCTTCTGTATTCTTGGCTCAATCATGACCTTATACTCTAAAAGAGCACTAGGCGCCTCTCCTGACACGTCTCGTGTCAGGCGACACAGGTGATCATGTCATGTACCTTGTAGCTTGGTTTTGAGACTTCCTCCTAAACTCCGAATTCTGCCTTTTTACACTGATTTTTTTGGTTTTATTTCTCTGAGCCTGAAAACAACAAAATACACAACTGACGCATAAAACATAGAAGAATGAACTAAAACACTTGACACAATAAAGAAACTATAACTAAAATCAACTGTAAATAAAGATGGAAAAACCACTGATCAGACCCCCCCAAACTTAAACTATTGCTTGACCTCAAGCAACCACTACAAGAACTCATGTAAATCACAGTAGTCTGATACTCATACATGAGATATACATTCAAATTAATCAAAAAGAAGTTCGTCTAATGTTCATATGATGCGAAGAGTTTGTTTAAGAATCTTTAAATCTAGAGTTTCCTCTTCAGATACCTCTCTAATTATGCTTTGTACTTAAGTCTCTTTCTGATTTTCCTCCTTTTTCATTCAGACAATCAAATTAAGGCAACGAGAATTATGATGATAATCACATGCACAAGACTAATCAATAATTTTTGCTTAGGCACCAAATAGCATCATTGACTACTTTTAATTACCGATGAAAATTTCAAACTTTGCAGTTATATATTGTCCTTTTGGACGACGTTTGGGGATCATCCCCTTTGGGCTGAATAACCTGGTGAGGGCTACCCAACTTAGCGAGCCAGTTGCCTTTTACCGCCTTTTCATCATTTGGTGCCAAATTTATTTATTTCTCCATCAATCATACATGCATGTGAATCTATGTTATGCCATACTGTGAGGATAAACTACTTCAGGAGTACTGATCAGTGGTTTTTACATAAATATTTAGCAGTTATTTTAGTTATCATTTCTTTTACTTATCAAGTTTTTATTTTGTTTTATTGCATATTATGCTTTGGTTTTGTGTTTTAGTGTTTTTCAGGCTCAGAGGAATAAAACAGGGAAAATCAGTACGAAAAGTGCAAATTCAGAGTTTTGGAGGAAGTCTCAAAAACCAAGCTACATGATGCCTGACACGGGTCGTGTCAGGAGAGGATGCATAGCTATAATTTGGGAGCAGAGGCTGACACGTCCCGTGTCTTAAGGTCTGGGCAAGAGTTCTTGTTGGAATGATGGACAGAGGCCGACATGGGTTCCCATGTCAAGTGACACGGCCCGTGTTGGACAAGACGCTGATTTTGAGTGTTTTCATGATTGTTTATGATTTGGGACCCAGAGGGGCGTTTTGGGAATTTCCGAATGAGAAAAATGGATTGTGCACTACTTAGATGAGTTTGGAAGAAGAATTATGGAGTTTTTGACTGGAGAAGATTAAGAACGATAAAGATTGGTGCTTTCAAGAGATTTGGAGACGAAGATTCCTTCATGAGCGATAGCAATTAAAGATCGAAGAATCCTCACCTTTTGTAATGTTTAAGTTTATTATTGCTTTTATTTTTAATATTATGAAAGGCTAAATCCCCCAATGCTAGGGGGTGTCCCTGATTTAAAAATGTATTGATTTTGAATTCTTGGTTTTGATATAATAGTTACTTTTCAATTTAATTGTTCAATATTCTTATGCCTTTCCTATCATATAAATAGGGATTGATCCACAGTTAACAATTAGGGCTGGACTGCCATTGTTAAGGTTTTTGAACCATTAGACTATAATATATATCACCTAGGACTAGGGATACCCTATAGGTTACCGGTAAAATCTTGATAGCATAACTGCTTGGTTTCATCGTAATTCACTAAGGACTTAGGTATTAGGATGAAGGACCAACGGTTTTCCCATTAAGGACTTAGGGGAAACACACTAAAGATTCAATAGTTGAAAGTAATGAACTTGTTGAAGAGATCAATAATGAAGGTTAATACAGGGTCGAATCACACACTTACTCTAGCATGCTCCTCATATCTGTTAAAAAGCCAATTTATATTTTTGCTATTTCTTAATTGACAATTTCAAAACCAAAACCCCAAGTTAAGTTTTTGTTTAATTGAACCACACATTAAACTCGGTAATTTTGTGTTGTCCTTGAGATTGATGCTTTGGGATTTCCCATTATTACTACATTGTAAAATTAGTACACTTGCTAATTTTCCTATCAAGTTTTTGGCGTCGTTGCCGGGGAACTGCCTAGTTATTAAGTGTAATTTGAGTTTAATTAAATTTTTATTGCTCTGCAACTAAAATTTTCTTTTCTGTAATTTTTATAATTTTTTTTGTTATTATTGATTTTTCCTAACATCTGCATGCGAGGAAAAACCTGAGCTTAATTTCCTTTTGATATACATACTTGTAGCGGTAGAAATGTTTAAGACTAAGCCATTGGATTGACTAGACTTTATACAAATCAAAATAAAAATCGCCACCGCGCTTTATTGTTTCCAAAGGAATGGGAAAAGAGCGAATAACCCAAAAAAGGGGGAAAATTCAAGGTAAGGGGGTTGGTTATACAAAGGGAAGGTATTAGCACCCTAAACATCTACGGTACTCCGCAGGAACCTCTTTGAAAAATTTGTATATTTTGGCTATAAAAATGTGTTATACATAAAATGGATGGTGGAGGTGAGAAAAGAAATATTTTTTATGACTTTTGCACCCGTTGCGGTTGCGGTTGCGAACCTTTAGTGCCTACGTACCACCTTTCGTGCAATAGGGGATCAGGGTACACGTAGTTCCTCTTTTAAAAATTGGAAATACAAGTGTGTTGGTTAATTTTATGAGATAAGATATCATCGTCATTGTCCGTGTGGAAAACATACTTACTACCCACAATCATGAGAAAGGAGAATTTGCATCATCTCAAAGTGGAGGATATGGCTTGGATTTTAAAATCCACAATGCCTCACTCAACACCCAAGTGGAAAATATCTCTCTTTACTACATATTGTAGAAGTATAGTTGTTTGCATCACTACAAGGATTGACAAGAGTCTAATCTTTTAAGAAAAGTTTTAAAATAAAAAGCCAAAGTGGCAAAAATGGTTTGAAATGAGATTGATTGACTTTTAGTATTCTCACAAAAAATGTCAAGGTATTATTAAATTGATTGAAGTTTATTTATGAAAATGTTTTGAAAATGCATGGACCTAAGTCCAAGTTTATTATGAAAGTGTTTCAAGTTTAGAAATAAGAAGAGTTTTTTAAAAGGAGGGAGAAGATTTTGAAATTAAAGAAGATGGGAGGAGATGAAGAGACTATCCTAAAGCATAAGATAAAAGTTAGGGATAAGAACCATCTAACCAACAAGAAACCAATACTTGACATTATGAGTAAATATAGAATTCCCATTCTTCGGATTGAAACCAAGCAAGCAAAGATACTAGACCTCTTGAGAGAATCAAACTTTAAGTGTATTAAGTCTTCGCAAAAATTGGGCAGAGTAACGGCTGTATACGGGTGAGTTCCAGATTACAAACAAAGTATGTAATCACAATAACCTGCATACAAAACAAACAAACAACCCAATGTCTTGAGGTAAACCTCAAGAACTCCAGACAAAATATCAAATAAAGTCACAAAGTCTCCAAAATAGGCCAAGGTCTCTAATCCTAAGTCCAAGAAGTCCAATACTCCATAATGCCAAGGATAGTAACCAAATAGTCCAAGTATCATTAAAGATTTTTTATGGTTCATGTTGATTATTAGGTGTCTTTAAAAGGAAAAGAAAAGCTCAAGTGAGCAAAATAAAAATGACATAAAAGTAAATGCTCAAGTGAGCAAAATAAAAAATGGCATGAAATGTAAATGCTTAAATTAAATGGTTCATAAAGCATAAAAAATAAAAGCATAAAGTAAAGTCAATTGTTAGAAATTAGTGGTTAGTTGGATGACCATCTTGAAAATTGCATTTGGAACTCATTAGAGGATTGGTAGAACCAAAGCCTCCATACAACAAGTTGCATTTACTTTTTGTCAAGTATATCATCCATTTTGGAATCCTCAAAAGTAACATTTAATGATCAACGATGTTTAAGTGATCCGCGTTGACCAAAGATGTTGTAGATTCATTAGAGGATTGGTAGAACCAAAGCCTCCACACAATGAATCTCAAGGTTATTGGATCAAAGAATCAAATTAACATACTTGGGCTTGCAGTCATAAGTTTGGTCCACGAATGATCATTTATTCGAGTCGGGACAAAATTTAGCGTTATGTTAAGCAATCGTAAGTGGACTTATGTAGAAGTCGCACCTATTTTGATGCCGGTCAATAGCAATCTATGTACTTCATGTTTGGATAAATGATATAGAGATCACCTTCCCTTAACATGTAACACAATTAAAAAAGAAAGGGATAAGATGAAGATGGAGGGGAATGATAAGCTAATTTGGATCACCATCTCAAAATTCTTTCATCTTTAAATTCAACCACTCCTCTAGATGGATTAAAGCACTAAACATATCATTAATCCAAAACACCAAAAATGAATTAAATAATTCACTCTTTGATAGATTTGAATTGATGATCATTTATCCAACTTCATCTATATCATAAAGTCCATTGAGTTTAAAGACAAATTGGACATTTAAAATTGCAATCCAAATTATCCATCAAAGAGAGTGAGCAGAAAAAATATTTGAGTCAAAACAACCCCAAAATAAGGCAGAAAAAGTATTTTCGACACTGTTGCAATCAGTTGTGCTTCGACGGCTACCAATTGCATCAGTGCAGTTTTTTTCAAATCAACTTTCTGTGACAAACAATTGCAATGTTACAACAATTGATTGCAACCTGTTAAAATCAGTAGAAAACAACATTTCAAGGATCAAATTCTTGTTCCAACTTTTCATCAAACACCTTATGATCATGGATCCAATTGAGCATGAAAACTCCATCAAATTATGAGAAAATAGCACTAATGGAGTCATAAAATAATACTCAATGAATCAAAACCTGAAATCCACAAGATATCACATTGTGAAAGATGATGATCCAACTTACC